CTTGCGAGGCTTCATACTCTCTCCAACGAGGATAAAAGCTAAGAAATTGATTTTTATAAAATACATGAAACTCATTCTAACTAAATAAAAAATATATATTTATTCATTAAATAAACTTTTATGTAATTATTTTTCACTCTTTTAAGAATAATTTAATAATTTTTTTACAATTTTATTAATTTTTTTTTTTTAATTATTATTACTCCATCTATCAATTAATCTACTGATCATTATTGGGTGCTTTCTAACAAGCAACTCGGTACAACATAGTGATCTCATCCTTGTTTAACACTGATAAACAACAAGGATGTAATGATGCACCATGTCACACCGTGTTATGTATGTCTCTTATTGAAAAGTACTCATTATAAACTGAAAAATTAATTAACTTTTTAATTTTTAATTTTTTATTTTATTATTTTATTATTTATTACGAATTTATTACGACTGTTATTCATTATTTACACACAAATTTTAATATATATCTATATATGTATATTTATATTGAATAAATTAGATTTTTTTATAAATTAAAATAAATTAGAATAAATTATATAGATTACAATATATATTTAATTGCAAATCTTACAATTGTCCAGCTTGTTGTAGGGTGTCAGCAAGCGCTCTCCTTAGAGCATTGTCCCTGTCGAAAACACCCCAAGTAGCCTGCATAGCAGAATCTAGAAGACAATCTCCGGCCGATCGGTTCCAGAGTGCGTGTAAACGACTACCTAATCGTTCAGTAATTTCTAAAGACCAATTTAGAGCTGGCGGTTCGCCACCACCGCCTTCCAATTGCTGTTGAGCTTCCTTATCTAACAATTCCTCTAGCATCTGTTCTTGTACAATACTCGGCAGATCTTCAACCTAAAAATATATATCTATTTCAAATATAAACATGTATATATATATGTGTGTGTGTGTGCGCGCGCGCGCGTGTGCATGTGTGGATGGGTGTGTATACATATATATTTTTCATATAATCACTTCTCAGTTATAATTGTTTAAAATAGAAATTAAATTTGAGCGAAGTTTGAATATTATTTATTATTTAAAAATATTTACTTTACTAAGGAATTAAAACATTAACTTTTCGTCTAATTTTTATATATTAAAATGTATATACAAATTAAATTTTAATATATGTCATAGTAACCTCGGCTGGCAATGCGAAGGTTGCCATATCGGTAACGAAATAACAAGGGAATGAGCCCTTGCGTAAGCGTATACTATTGGTGACATGTCGGCGAATCTGTACCGCAAGATCAGGTGCGACGTAACTTGGTACTCTTTTCACCCCTGAACCCGAACCTTCAATTTGCGACAGCAATGTTGCTAAAATATCTTCCCTTTGAAATCTGTAGAAAAATCCCAATTAAAATTCTATTAATTTTTTAATGTTAAGAACCGTATTTTATACAATAGAATCGGTTTATAGAAGCATTTATCTAAATTATTTGTGTTTACCTAATAGCCAAGTGCACCAAAGTGTGCCCAACGTCAAACGCGCTGCTTCTATTGAGGAGCAAGACCTCAGAATGCGTCAATTGGCGGGCAGGATCGCCACCACTTGCCAGGTAAGCTTCAACAGGAGTGTTGTCACCCTCTACAATACCAAGACAAGCGTTTAACCAACACCAATCAGTGTGGCGTCTTAACTGCTTCAATCGACGTTCATAATCACAGTTATTCGGAGATTGAGGAGTTGACAAACTATCATTCCGGTTTTCTGCATACCTATGTGGGCCTCTGAAAAGTTAAAGATAACAATTAAATTTAAAATAACAAATTAAATTTATTAACAAAAGAATATTATATTCTTCTGATAATATATAATAACACATATTTGTAACTTACTCAAGAAAATATAGTCAGAAATTACGTGTACTTAAAATAAAATATTGAACTTGATATCATTAATCTTTAAATATATTTCCTCTAAATAAAATTTATATATTTTCTCTGCAGATGTAAAATATAAAATATTAATTTGGTCACCTCCTTCCTATCGCTAAATTATCTTCTCTTTGTGTCTGATGAATATAGGGTGCATGTGGGGGCGATGGTAAACCTCGTTGACTATGTTCTCTCTCGGGACTCGGTAAAATCACTCCTACATTTCCATGTGTCCCCTTATCCCTTCTATCCTTCTCCTTCGGATGACCGCACATCACGCATTTAGTCGCCTTGGGCCAGTTCTCGTAAGTACATACATGACAAGACCATTTTTCTGGATGCATATTGTACAATCTTTCCGGATGGAGATTAATCGGCGAGGGATTCAATTGAGAATTCGATCCCGAGTTTGGTGGTCCATCGGCCAATCGCAGTGGTGCTAAATGTTCATGTAGATTCGATGCTAATGAATTGACAGACTGATTGACCGGCTTCCGATTGCTACACTGTACACACCGCGTTGTATTTTGATAATTAAGATAAGTGCACATGCTGCAAGCCCACTTTCCCGCCGAAGGCAGATTCTGGCTATAATTTTGCGAGGTAAAATTATCCGTAGGGCTTATCTGGGATACTGGACCGGAAGCGACGTTGGAGGAACCTCTTTGAGGGCTAGGATCTCGAAGACGATAAATATCTTCGCCCAGGAGAGGCTTGGCACCTCTGCACATGGTGCATTTTAAAGAAGAAGGCCAATTCTCATAAGTGCAGTATTCGCAAGTCCATTTCTGCTCTGTTTCCTCGAATCTGCTGGTCATCTTCAATGGATGGAGAAATTAATTGATGGAGCTTTTGGTCTCGTTGTTGCAAGGGATGCAATATTTCTCGATGCGGAAGAAAAGTTGAAAGATGACGTTGAAATGTGCACTAGACATTAAATATTTTTTTTAATATCCTAGTTGAATTTTCTATGCTGCACAGTGCAGTCTATTGGGAGATTTGTGACCAAGTATGGTTTATAGCCCAGTATACGCTATGTGATTAGCATTATGATTGATTGTAATTAAATAAAGCTACTAGAGATGTGTCAATGTAGACATTGGTGGAAGAACCTGAAAAAAATATTAATATTTATATTAAATATATTGTAAAAACTATAAATGAAGATATATTATATATATATATGACATAATAAAATATTATATATTATTGCTCCTATAACTAAAAGCAATAATGAATGCTATATATTGCTATGTATTGAGTAATAAAAGTCGACACAAGTAATGTTCTGTCTTTGTTATTCATGGAGCGCCAAGAAAGACAGAACAATGTTTGTATCGACTTATACTACTTCTTGCATTCAAAATGAGATAAATATGTATCTAAGTATGCAAAAGAAGAAAAGTTAAATAGATATTGAAAGAACTAAAGTTTTTTTCTTAAAGTTAAAGATATTAAAAGAACAAAAATTACATGAGAAAAAAGGATACAAAAACATATAGAAAATGTGATAAAAAGAATAAATTTTTGCTATTAAGTTAATTCATTTAGTAAGATATCTTTACAAAGAGAAAGAAAAAGCAAAGTGAAGAAAGAAACAATCACTGATAAGCTATGTTTATTGTAATTGTTAGTTGCACTTTATCTCTTTCTTCTTTTGCTTTTTTTCTTCTTTTAGTCTATATCTTACTTTATAGAAAATATGAAAAAAGCACAGTTGAAAT